TTACGTTAGTTAGTACGTAGTAGTAGTAGAGAGAGAGAGAGAGAGAGAGAGAGAGAGAGAGAAACATGGGCATAAAGTTACAGAGAACGAAAATTAAAAACAGCTGTTGAAATACTAAGTAAATCCAGTATTAGAATTTACAGAGGCCCAATACCAAGGTATTTTACTGTGATATAACTGATTTAGTACTATTAATACATAATGTATTCATAAAATTAATAAAATCTAGCATCCTACCTGTAGGATTCATTTATGTGAGGGAGTCTTCTTGGTAATGTTGTTCATGTATGCCTGATCAGTTGATTATCTATGAGAAGAAAGAGAAGGCATTTTACTATTAAAGAGAAAGTGAATGATATTTTCTATGCAAAAATATGCCAGAGGCAACATTTATTGTTGGTGTAAGCAGATATACCTATACCACTGATGAATTTGGCCCTTCAAATTTACATACAAACCCCAGCATTTTTATTCAATTAAAAAAAATTGGGAGAAATAATGAAAATTAGTGGAAAACACTGTCATGTTGGATCCTTTTCTGTCATAAGTACTGTACCACTGAAAGGAACAATCAGTGAGTTTCAGAATGCACAGTTTACATTCATCATTTGTACATTGAATCTGGATGTCTTACAGAAAAAGCACTGTACTTGACTAACTTTTCCCTGTTACCCTTCCTCAGGTGGTAAACCTTTGCTTTCAGTGCCCGCATAGTGAATGACTAACTGATACAAGGCTCAATGGGCAGTTTGTCTTCCAGTAAGGAATAAAAAGTTACATATGAAACTACCAGCCCAGTCTAATTTACTTATAAAATCTTCTAATTAGATGCAGATTGAAATAAAACAAAATATTTTAACATTTAGCACGAAGGGCACTCTAGACAGAGTATGGAATGTGTGGGTCTGTGGTGGTCGGGAGTGGGGGTGGGGGGCTGGACTAACAAATTAACAGGGTATTCTTGTGTTTAACTCCATTTCAATAAACCTAATGAGATAGAGCAAATTTAACTGAGGAAAGTGAACTGCATTTCTCTTCTTGTGTGTGTATGTAATAATTTAGATGTCATAAAACAGAATAAGTCAGAAATATATGTTTATGTTGAAGGGAAAGACTGGACTTAATTATCCAGATGACATGATGTAAAAAGTACATTAAGGTGGAGCTCAGCAATGCAGGAACATTATCTCTGTTTTACACAGAACAGAAATCAGGTGCCAGATTCATTCTGGGGATAATAGATTTAGTGGAGTTACACCAGGAATAAATTTGGCCAAGACTGCCTAAAAATGAAAATTACAAAAGAAGCTTGAAAATATGAGCTGCCTTGGCGTTCTAGGCTTCACAGGGAATAGCTTCTTTCTTTCTAAGTATGCATTTGTCCTTTAAATACAGGAGCTTAACTGTGGGTGGAAATTTACTGATGTGATATTCAGACAAAAAACAAAACAAAATAGTGTTAATCATTATCTATTGCAGATTGTTGGGTTTAAACGTGTTTCCTCCTACATTTCCCAGTTTCTGTTCCTTGATCATGCAGCAAAAGCATATGGCTATCTACTGCCACTGAATATTACCCTGAACTCCTGATTGATTTAAATAGGAAGAGTTCTACACGTGCACTGATGGAGGACTGCCCCCTAATGTCTCATTTCTGACATTAAAAAGTCATTTTCACCAAAAGCCAGGGTGGTGTCATAAACACAGAATTGTTCATAGGATCATAGATTTTAAGGCAAGAAGGAGTCATTCTAATCATCTTGTATGACCTCCTCCTGTATGACACAGGCCAAAGAACTTCATCCTATTATTTTTGCATCAGAGCATTATGGCCGAGGCAGGTCTGGGGCAGACAAAGAACACGGGCTACAGGGAAATAAAAGTTCTTATCTGAAGTAAAAGTATGTCCAACAATTAGCAGCAGTAGCGCAAGCAGAGAAAATTACTGGCTATGTAAATTGCTGTTTGTTTAAATGCTTTCTTTTTCAAGAGGACCTCAGTGAGAAAGACTCTCATCAAGTAACTTATTCTTTGTACTTTCCTGAGTACACGTTGTACGTTCAGGCTTGCATTACTTGAGTGATTGTGGAGTTGTTCACTAAGAGTACTGAACTATCAAAAAAAAAAAGGACACTGCTCTTAAACAA